CCTCTTAATTTTAGTATCAGTGAAAACGTCGTGTCGTTCCACATCAACCTTCTATAAAATTCAATGAACAGTAATATAAAAAAAATTATGTCCACGTCAAAGACGTGGCAGACTTGTCAAAGACAAACACGAGAGAAATAATTCAATCTTAAGTTAATCAAAACTAAATTTATCTTCTCTTTTAATGTCCAGATTCTGTCAATAAAACATTAACACAGTCACCACTTTTGTCTAGCCTTTAAGCCAAACTTTTGACTATTTGTTCAGTGTTTACCATATTGCTCCCTCATCACTTACATATGTTTGTATTGTTCATGAATATAAGCTCTTTTCGTAGGCAACTTTAAACCTTCTTTAAAAATAATCTTCTCCTTGTTGTTAGTTCTCTCCCTGTGTAACGGTTAACGACCGGCTACCAGAGCAAATTCTTATATTCCTTGGTTGCTATCCTTGATGAGAGGCTTTTGCTTCTGTTTCGTTATACAGCTCTCGCAGCATATAATTACGAAAGGAAATATGAAAAGTGACGCGAGGGGTGCGAATTTTGTGGCACTCAAGTCGCCGAGCTCAATCGGTTGTTGTGGCGTCGAAACTAGGCGGCGCGCAGATCGAGGCGGAGTTCAGTGTAATGCTGGGCCCAGAAAGTGTTTCACGAGGGGGGGGCAATTTCAGTTCGCACGGACCCCTGTAAATATTATATTAAAATAGTACTTAAAATATGTTAGGATGAAATAATAGATATTTATGACATGGGAGGTAAAAGTGGCGTCTTTTTACGAGTACGAAAGTTTGTTACACAATTCTACAAGCAAAATTAAACGCATTTTATAATGTATTATACACTAGTTTTAGACAGCCTTACTAACTTCCATTTTACTTCAATTCGAGAACACACATTACTTGTTAATGCACTTAACTGTATACTACATTATATACATTGAGGTCAGCAGTAGCTGATGCTGTCAGACGAAAGTCTTCTAATTTATTTATTACATACATATATCTTTATCCGATCATTGAAACATAGTCTCGATTTTAACAATAGTGCAAAAAATTAAACTTTTAGCACGTTTTAAAGTAACAAGTTTTTCATGTCTGTGTAAAAATGTATATTTCGGGTATATTCTCAATATGAAAACTGTTTCGGATGTGATGAGATCTATATATGGTATTCATTTTGAATACATTGAGTAAATTGTTTAAAATTACAAAAGGTTTGCTTTTGCATCTCCCGCGCCCCTGAATATGTCACCGGTACCGTACTTAGAGTACAAAGAAATTGTATGTACACAAGATTTAGAGAAAATAATGCAAAGCTGTATTTCAAAAATTTAAAAGTTGGAAAATCAGTGTTACCCTAATGAAGAATTCTAGCGGAAACGAAATTATCGTTAGACGTTCACAGGTTTTGAATAATTTTTCTTCCTGTCCATGCTTTTCAGAGGTTTCACAAGAAAACATCATATTGGTAATGCAACTCCATGCATAAATATTCGAACTTTACAAGTCCACCTGTCTTCAAACTTCTTTTATTTTTTTATTTTTCTCTTCGGGTGAAAAGAATGCCAGCGATTTATCGCGTAAATTACTCACTTTAAAATATGGATATTATTTTGAACGTTCATGCTTTGAAGTTTTTACAACATTAATTTTAACAACACTATATACGCTAAATGCCTTTGCGCTAGCGTCTAGACGCTAGCTGCCTCGTAAGCAGAAAATCTTTGAGGCATGAAAATAGGATTTTAAGGGCCTAGCATACATCGTTTCCAAAGATGCACAATTATAATGTTTGCAGTAACATATTTTATGCCATAATCTGCAAACTTTTTAGTTTTAAATGTTTTGTTTACAAGACAGGATAATAATTCCTCAGTACAGTAGTAGCACTTTAACGAAGTTTTCTATCGAAGGTGTCATATAAATAGTTACAAACCTTCTTATATAGTATATCGTGTTACATATTATAAAGAGGCTATTAATTTTATAAATCTTAACTAGAGATAATCAAGGGCTTGAAAAATATTTCACTCTAATATATCAATCACAGAAAGTCAGTATCAATGTAATAGTGGAACGAAAATTATTACTGGTGTTTAGAAAATATCGGATGAATTGAAAACGGTGTCATGATTTTGTACGGGATCATTAAATTTTGTTTTTTTAGATATGTAATGCAAAATAAATTGTCTTCTTGTATATGCTCAGGAAGGAAATAAAAATGAAACATATTTAATTAGATATCGCCAAACTTCCTCGTCATAGTCTCGCTTCACATCACAACTGCTTGAAACCCAAATGGCAAATTTCCTCTTTGCGGCTGAGAGCTGATGCCATACGTCTAGGTGCTGGCCTTAATGGCAGTTTTTTATGTTTTTAAGAGCCCGTTATACTGTGAATTTCTTTTGCACAGCCTCGGGCATCGGCGAGTCTAATGAGTTTCTACGAGTGTGTAACGGTTTCATAATTTTCTGCTTACGAACTTATGTGCACAACCGGGAACGAAATATGACGTTTTTTACTTGATGCGAAAGAGAAAATTTTGAATCGGTAAACACGATTTTTAATGATAATCTGGATATAAGCATTTTTTATATATAATTGTTAATGAAATAAAATTAATAATTGTTGTTAACTTAAAACATTTGAAAAGTAAAAGTCAATGATCTACTTTCGGAAAATGAATACATACAAATTTGTCCTTCACAATTTTAAAATATTTTGTCACTTAACAGAATTTTATTAATCATTTTTAGAATAAAATATTTATATGAATAGGTATTTGTGAAGTTTTTAACTGAATCGTATCTTAGTGAAAGATAAGGACAAGTTAGAAAAAAGAAGTGATTATTAAAATTTTTTATTTTATAACTCGGAACAAATGACAACCATTTCTTGTGAAACGTAAGTACATAGATTTATTTTTCAAATTGTATTGCAGTCTTTGCCACGTTTCAATACAAGTCATTTTTGAGGAACTATTTAATCCCCAACTGGTTGCTATTGTAAAAAAATACCAATTAATTTTTCATATTGTGAAGATCAGTAAACAAATTCATCTGTCTACGTACCTCTTCAAGCATGCGCGCTGATATTTAAATTTACATTTATATTTATGTATAATTCAGAGCGAGTTTCGTATAGAACAATCTTTCGGTGATGATGTTCATTTGAGTCACTAATGTTCAAAGAGAAGTGGTAATGTTTCATCTTTAATAAGACCAGTGCGCAGGACAATTGAATTTACTTATTATTCCATCTATTCCTGTGTACATTTATTTGTAAAATAGCAGTAAGGCATCTGTAATTCGTTATATATCACCACATTTTCATCATAATGCCACATAGGATGTGTGGGAGGTAAATAATACTGATTCATTTCCGTTCAATAATGCAAATGGGCAGTATGTTCGGACTGTATCCTGTGTGTACCGGAAGATCTAATGAAGTATTTGGCAACAGTTTCCTCCTTACCGTTCATGTCCATTTTATATTTTTTACAAGGAACTGACTATATATGTTTCATAATTGCGGAAGAGTAATTACATTTAGAATATAATTACAAACGCTTATAAAATAATTAGAGTTTTCAAAATTCCATAAAACAAAATATCGATTTAATAGTTGCGTTATAGTCAGTGAGTATACATTGTATATCCATTACAATGAAAATAACTTTTCACAACGGCTTTTTGCTTAACTTTATCTCCTTATTACCTAAAACATTCTCAGTTACTAAATTGAGAAATACGATCCTTTTAAAATACTTACAGAACTTCACAAAATGAGATGGTAAGAAAGCTACTTCGATAAAATAACACTTTCAAGGTTCGGATCCAAGCACCCAAATAAAGTATTCATGATACCTACTTTGAATGGGCATTATACTACGGAGGTGAATGTGAGAAGGGGTCAAGACATCATCACTTCTGAAGTGATCGTACATGGAGTTCATGAATATCAGTGGTAATTCGAAAATGTGATGGATCTTTTCCCTTGCATTTCTTCCATCTATTTTTAAGCTGTCCCACAATATGAGAATAGACAACAAGAAAATGAGACACATGAAGACTATTGAAGATATCAGTGAATATATCATGTATGTAATAACGCAATTTTGTATTTGTCAGTGTCAGTTTGTGATCAGTGTTTATGTTTGAGCTAATCACTATTTGGTTTTAAACATTTACCACTACAATACAAATCGGCAATCTGAATTAACTGGGGGTGTGGTCTATTCGGATTCGGAAATGTTCGAATTACCCGAAAAAATGTATCGTGCATATACAAATACGGATATCTATAGGAACCGACAACTTCGATCAGAAATCTCCACGATACTACTGCCTTAGCGATATCGGCTATCCGGATCGACAGTAAAAAAAATAGGAAAAGTGAATTTCCACGCAGCTTCCATCTCAATATTAATACATTCCCTCTCTCAACCATATAAACCATATAAACCAAGAAAAATATTTTTTGTATACTAGCATTATTATATTAGCATTCTGTATACGTAGCACTATTGTACAGTAAACGACCTTTACTGTTGCAAGAAGTCGTTCATAATCGGGCATTTTGCGGCACAAATAATGACGTATCAGATCTTATGGCACGAATGATTGCGATATCACACATTTAGTCAATCGCAGTGAAAGAATCGTAGGGAGGTAGAGGTACGAGTAAACAGAACGGCCGGCCACAGTTATCTTGCACAGATGTCAAATACCCAAGACGTCACAAGAAAGTTGTTTCGCAAAATTAAGTTTGAACTGTAAATTAGTAATGCTGTTATACAAAAAAAATCACGTATGCAACTCGTTCGTAAATATTTGAAAAGTCGCTCCTAACGTCGCTCGTTTTCGTTTTGCTCGTACTCGTGCAATAAAGTTTAACATTATAAACTTAATTGCATAAAGTGCTATTGTCAATCAATTCCACCTTCCTGTCTTCCTCCCCGAGAAACCTCCGCTTCAGCGAGCGGCTGCACGTGCCGGCAGGGGCGGCGACGGGCTGGGCCCGCGCTGGCAGCTGTGGCGGCGGCGGCGCTTCGTGCTGGCGTCCCTGGCCTTCTGGGGGCTCGTCTCCATGTACACGACGCGCATCAACTTCAGCGTCGCCATCGTCGCCATGACCAGCGGCTCCGGCGCTTGCCACCGCGCCGCCCTCCCCGCCAACGCCTCCGCCGCCGCCAACGCCTCAACCCAGGCGGTGAGCAGCCCTCTGGCCAAGCGCAGAACGCTCCCTATAATGCCTCAGGCGGCGATGACACGTGCCTGTCGCGACCCGTCTCTAGTAGCAAAGAACCCACACAATTATTTAAAGCTTATTTTTTAAATCTACAGTGTATTTAAGCAGGACGTAAAATTTAATGGCCGATTTAGTGAGACTAATATTGACGTCCAAAAAAACATTACGCTTTTGGTTAGATGGTTAGATCAAGGAGGCGCAACGGAGCAACCGGTCTAATGCTTGAGGGAGAAGAAGAAGAAGAAGAAGCAATTTTGTATTGTAAATATTGTAGCATTCAGCAACATGTGTTAAGTGTATAGTATACAAGGGATACATTAAAAATCCTAGAGTATAGGTTGATATATAGCAATTTTTGCCAATTAACGTGTATTAGTGCGCATTTTCACGTAGTTGCACGCGTGACGTTTGCCCCTGATGGTTAGGCATTTTGTCATGCACCAATGTTCGGTTGGTATACAAAATCTCTTTGCGTTAGAACGTGACCCGCTTAACTCTTATGTATAAAGAAACGCATGAACAATCACGGACAAATATTAAATTTTCAACTATTTGTCCATTGGCAAAACATGATCATTTGTCCATGCTCATGCCTTAAATTTTGTAACATTTATTCTTAAATAACTGAATAGTAAAGTTTATAGAATGCTCTAAAGGGCACAGGAGAAATCGTTGTCACCAATTGTGATCAGGATCCCAACGAGCGGCATATTATAATTCATCAAGGAACGGAGACTATCAAGCTTAATAATATCATTTATGGTGTTGTCATTATGTGGCCGAAATCAATAGTGTTTTTTAACTTTCCATTTATACATATAATGTAGTACAACGTACAGACGTTACTAGTGGTTTTACATATATACTGATACTTTTTTTAAACTTGTGACTTTTGCCTCGATTCGTCTCTTGTAGGTCTCAATTGCTGGCTATGTTCAAGGCGCTGTCCAGAAATTCATTATCTACAGATGCTTACATAAAAGTAGCAGGACTATCTACACTAACATATGATCAAGTATTTTTCTGAATCTCATGTGCCCGTCTGTGAAGGTCACAGGTGGTTTTTTACATTAAAACAAATTGCATGTTTTTGATACAACTTGAATACAAAAAGGAAAGAAAAAACTCTTGTTTTAGACGGTTTGTGTCGGTACTGGGTAGTTTTCTTGTGAGTTACTCTTAAAATATATCTCGTTTTGAAATAGATATTAACGTGTTATCTTTGCTCCAAACAAATAATTTTTGGGCCGTAATGTCAATCAGATTTATATAATGCTGTACAATAATATTTCAAAACAAGTTTTCATTTCAGCAAATCAGTATATTATATTTTCTAAATCTAGATTAAAAAATAAATGTACGGCTTCGATCAGATGTAATATCAATCGGAATTTTGAAATCCTGGCTTCTTAAAATGTTACAAAATGGATATCATAACCTCCAATTTTTTTTCATGCCAGAGATTTGGTGGTAATAATGGAAGAGTTTGGGTTAATATACTCGGATGTGCAGTGGTTAGCCTTATGAAGAAACATTAGGTTTAGTTTGACGTAGACGTAGACAACGCAATCAGAGCAAAATAGCGTGCTAATCTGTTGTTAGTGTAGGATTTATGTGTGGGGGCCTCGGGGCAAACATATTTAAATGCTCATTAAATCGAGGCTGATTTGAAACAAAAAAATGGATATTCCACATATTTTCCTAAATATTAATTAATATCCCATTAGCTTAATATTGTTAACATTGAATAAATAAAATTTTATAAATAATATTGTATATTACTCAAAATTTTGGCGTGTTAAACAATGAAATATCCTGTTTTTACTTTATTAAGTGTATTTTGAACATTACTATGAAATGAAAACATTGCCGAATATTTCAATGCCATGGAATAACTGAAATACAGTTGTTATTTAGATAATTATAATAGAAAATAAGACGTTGGTGTATGAAGGAAATGTTTTCTGACGAGACGCTGGAGCTGAGTCCTAAATTTTGAAATGAGTATGCCAAATCCAGTTTAGTTGAAGTTGCGAACGTAATTTTTTAGTACGAATGGGAACTTAGAGGTAAATAGTCTTAACATCATTCTCAATAACCAAGACGTCAGCTTGTTGCTTTACGTCGCTCAGTGTTTTTTATAGTGAGCGATATTGAGTGTTTTATTTATTATGCTGTTAGTGTCCGAAGACAATGACAGAAGAAGAGGATTCTAAGCGTTAGTGCTGAGATAGTTATTAACGATATTAGGCCCATGACGAGCAAATAACCATAGAGTATGTTATTTGTGTTATCGACCGTCTATCGTTCAATACTTGAATAATATCATATTTCTATTAAGAAAAAAATATAACAAAAATAAACATCTTTTCTTGGAATTAGAATACATACGTCTTTTGCTAATTTGATTCGTGATTGTTTTTAATATCCCGCGTTCTGTTCTATAATGATCGCCATAGGAATGTTTTTTATTCCTCTGTTTGGTTGTGTTAAAACTACATAACAGCATACGGCACACATAAAGCACAAGGAAAAGATATTAAAAGTGTATTCACAAGCCGATTAATGGCGGGCCCTGCCGCCCGGTTAAAGAGCGGCTGGCGTGCGGCTCCGTTGCGTTGCAGGGCGAGTGCTCGGAGCGCGGAGAGTTCGACTGGGACTCGCGCACGCAGGGGCTGCTGCTGTCGGGCTTCTTCTACGGCTACCTGGCGTCGCAGATGCCCGCCGGCTGGCTGGTGGCGCGCGCGGGCGCCGCCGCGCTGCTGGGCGCTGGCATCGCGGGCTCCGCGCTGCTCACGCTGCTGGGCCCCGTGGCGGCGCGCGTCGGCGGCGCCCCGCTGCTGCTCGCCACGCGCATCGTCTCGGTGAGCCCTCGCCGCTCGCCCCATGCCCCTCGCCCCATGCCCCTCGTCCCATGCCCCTCGTCCCATGCCCCTCGCCCCATGCTCCTCGCCCCATGCCCCATGCTCCTCGTCTCATGCCCCTCGTCTCATGCCTCTCGCCCCATGCCCCTCGCTCCTCGAAACGCACACCGGGAGAGGTTGCTCAGGGCATCTGGCCTCTGACCGGGAGGTCCCCGACGGTGGCAGGATTTTCGACACTAGCCAGAGAGATAGGTCGAGTTATGTTGTTGGCTGGAGGAGAATTCTAACAGTCGAATGCTCTGATCGGTAGTTTTCCATGGTTCCAATCAACACCAATGGTTTTTCCAATCAACACCAGGCGAATGCTGGATCAGTACCCTAACGAACTGGCCATGGACCGCGCGCGTTCTTTCCTTTCCATTCCTTGACCTATACTCACTCCTTACTACACACACACTTGCAGGCACTACACTACCACATATGCCGAGAGACCGATTGGAAGTTTAGAGCTTGTCCAGGCTGGAGCGGTGCCTCGGAGGTTGGAAAAATCTGGTTGGGGAAAAACCCGGCCAGCCGACTACGTCGGCACCACATCTCGCCATCCAGTGGGGCAAGATCACCGTAACTTCCCGAGCAAACATGTACTATACTTACGGGGATAATAACCTTGGCGCCCGGAATCACTAGTAGTCAATCAAGATCCAGCTGTGGAGAATTTTCGGCACTAGAAATATAGCTAGAACGAAACGAGCCACTGGAAAAAATTAGTGTCAGTTGTTCTAACTGGTAGTTTTCCATAGTTTCTTAAATCAATACCATTAGATTATTAGTTTTTATGTATGTGTTCCGGCATAAGTCTAGTAGTAATCGGAGAAACCGCGAAAAACCACTAATAAGAGCGTCCGGTGGCTGAAAATGTCCTTCAGACAGCGGCTGAATTCGATCCAGCTACTTAGCCAGTGTGCAAATCCGCCTCTTGAAAGCGGGGACCGTTTCAACCAGTTCCCCTGCGCGCGCGTTGAGCGTTTCGGCGCGTGCGGGGCGCGTTTGTGACGCGGCGCGCGCGGGCGGCGCGGCGCAGGGGCTGCTGCAGGGCGTGGTGTTCCCGTGCCTGAACGCCATCTGGGCGCGCTGGGCGCCGCCGCTCGAGCGCTCCCGCCTCGCCACCACCGTCGCCTCGGGCTGCAACGTCGGCACCGTCATCGTGCTGCCGCTCTCCGGCCTGCTGGCCGCGCACGTCGGCTGGCCCTCCATCTTCTACGTCTTCGGTGAGACGCCCGCTGCCTTCCCGCGCGTTTTCTGTCGGCAGGGGAGTGGCGCGCACTGCCGTTCTCGAGAGGTGGTGCCGTTCTCGAGAGGTGGTGCCGTTCTCGAGAGGTGGTGCAGTTTTCGAGAGGTGGTGCCGTTCTCGAGAGGTTCAAACGGAATTGCCGCATTCTTTGACCCATTGAGAAACCCAAACCCAAAAATAGCTCATTAGATGATTGACATTGGACCCCTACCCAGATTTGTGCGATGATAACATATCTTTAGTACACTATTTAGTCACTAGACAGAAACAAAACTGTGGTGCAAACATGTTTTAATGTACAGGTGACTTGTTTGAAATGTTCCCTTTGGAACTCGTCTCAATCGTTGCAGATATTGAAATACTCTTTTTCTCTATCCGAAGGATATTAAAATTATGTGTATAATACCGTTTTGTATTATACCATATTTTAAACTTGATCTTTTAACCCTAAACGTATCTTTTCCGTTATAAGTGTAGTTCACTACAGATGCCTGCGTTACTCAGTGAGGAGTCTTACCACCTTCTTACACAACACGGCCTTAGAGAAAGAACTACAAAATTTAGGACCGTTCCAAGTGCACTTTGTGTAGTGGAGTGAAAATAATCTCCGTGCGGGAGTTGAAGTGAAAGGACCCGCAGAGGTGACTGGTGAGGTGTGGGCGTCCTGCGCTGAGAGCTTATGTTTACGTGCTAATGCGTGAAATATATACGTAGTTGAAAACCATCGCCATTTATTTTCTCAAACAATTAGTTTCGGTGAACCATTTATAAGAATAAAGGGAACCGAATCTAGGGAATCGGCTGGTGAACTGGCATACGTATAACTAAAAAATCCTATTAAACTATATATGTTTTAATTTAAGAGATGTTTAGACAAATCTGATTTTATAAATAGAGTCGTATAGATTTCTTTAGCCCTTTATAACGTGCGCAAAGAGAATAGTGCCTACATTTACCTATGGTACATAATACTTTCGACAAATATAGTGTTTTTCCGACCATGTTAATTCCATTACATTTCATATTCGTCTTCAATTACCAGGAAAAAACGCGCTTCAAGACCACTCTTTTCGGTTGCGTTCGACCTGGAGGGCAGAAAACATTGCAATGTCAAATCAGACGAATGGACCAAGGCTAATTGTTTGCGGGGGTGAGACAATTTTTCATCCAGAGCTCTGATCCCACCCAGTTTAGGCAAACAGTATTCATAAAAATAATTATAATACTTGTTGCTTCAAAAACGTAAATAACAACTAAAACCATTATGAATTGAAAATATGTAACTAAATTCTGTGAACTATCTTATAAAAATTTGACGCCAGCAATAGAGATGAAAATGTTAGTACATCAAAGAGCAATATCTAAGAATCATTAAGTACGTTTCGTGTTTTAATGAAATTTTATTTCTGGCATTTTTCTTTTCTTGTAAATTTACATGAAATTGACAATTATAATGGTTACTTATAAATGATTCTACAATATCGGATTTCCACGAATTATGTAGGCAATGTTTTGTAATTTTGTAAAGAATACATTCATAAACCTTCACGGTCAGTTATGTTTGTTCAGGTACTTGTATAACCTATGTCATTATAAGTATCGTAAAAAATATTCCCATGGAAAATTCGGTGGAAGTTGGGGAGGTTGAGGAAAAAGTGAAGTAATTCGAAAATTACTTCTCAAGGTCAGGTTGTCCTGATGCGATAATAATATAGTCTTTATCTTGTGAACTCCGCACTTTTTAACTACAGTGCATGCACAGTACGAAACTAAGTAGCTGTTGATGAACATTTATGTCCGCAAATACTTACATGTGTATTTATTTTATTTGTCAGAGACTTTGCAGCCATTCTCAATGTCTTGCGTGCCAGCAGAATGCAGCCATCTTCAATGCCTTGTGTGCTAGCAGGATTTAGAGAAGATAAATTCTGTCAAACAATAACCCCTTCCCCATGATAAAGGCTTGATGTCACACGCTCGTGCGGTTTGTCATGCGAACGACTTTCCGGCTGATGTCGCGTCGAAGACTGTGATACCGACGTTTCGACCACCTTGTAGTTTTCCTCGAGGTTGAAGGGCTTAGGACTTTCACTGCTTAGCATTTAATTTATTCCGCACGTCAGCCCTGAGGAAAATCATGACGTGATGGTCTAAACGAGCGTTGTCGTTTGAAATGACTGAAGCTTATTCTAAACTTGCTTATTGTTCATATTATTCCCTTTTGTAATAATCCTTTTTTGTACCCAATAACATCTTAACTAAGAAAGTGTCATAATTTTCTGGATTTTGACGAATGTATAATATATTACATCAAAGGCTTTCATTTTTATCACTAACGATATTTAGAAAGTTCTTCGACATGTTCGATCGTTTTACTTCACTAGCTTAGGATCAGTCATAAACCAAAAACGGTGCATTTTGGCCCTTAAAATTTGGATTTCGCGTCATTGAACCTTAAGAGTTACATTTCTTGGGTCATTGTTTACAAAATGAGATCATTCAGGACCATTTATCTAATATAAGGGAGTCATCTTGTGGAGTGGTTGGCTAGAGACTTGCAAACGTGCAGTAAAATTGAATGTAATAATTACTATTCTGAGCGATTTAATATTTCTTACCTCTCTATTTTTGCTAATACATGTTTGAAAACAAAATGTTTACTCATATTGAACGCAGCTCACATTATTTAGATAATAGTTTGGAGTATGAGCAAAGTACAAATTATTGTAACTGGTTAGTTTTATTTATTCGGAGAATTTCAATATTGTTATTTCTTTGAGAGTTAATAAAAAAGCTCTGTTAAATTACTGTCAAGACCTTCACTTTATGATGAACGTAGAACGTGTTATTTCATATTTTTCGACAGTGAACTAGAATTGTTCTGCCATATCCACAAAATACGTACGACCTTGAATCGCCAATGCACAAAGGAATGCGTACATTAATGTGTCCTCCTAACTGTAAGCATTTTGTTTGCATTTACTAACAACCATCCAGGAACATGCTGCGCAGTAGTAACAAGTGAGGTTCACATCGTTTGGGTTACGCAACTAGAAAACGAGATAAAATTGCAAAATCCGGACGACGCGTTTCACCTTTTTCAATTTTGAATGCAGTTTTGTGTTAATTTTCCGGTGATGAGTATACAGCCGGGTGGGTTTTGTTTAAAATATTTTATTTACATAACGTATTGGAAAATATTCATAACACTTCGTGAATATTGTGTGCCTACGATATTTTAATAAAATTGAAAACAATCTTTACATTATCATTAAAAACTTTTGCTGTCACTATATTTACACATCAGCTACTAGTAATACACGTGAGAAGGTTCCTCACTTCTTAATCGTCGCTTTTATAGTGAAAGTAGCTTCTTACCGGAACCTGACATGAAACTGACAGGCCGTTAACTTTTCTTTATACCGAAGAAGCTCGCTACTGTGTGTGCAACTGGCTTGGGCAGCTCACGGCATTAATTGATGACACTGCAGTGCCTTTGAAAGAGGGTTTCTAGGGATATAGTCCCGACGGTGGCCGAATTTTCGACACTTACTAGGTCGAATTCCGCTGCTGAGTGGAGGAGAATTCTAGCTGCCGGCTGCTCTGATCGGTAATTTTCCGTTGTTTCTCTGATCAACACCAGGCGAATGCCGAAGAAGTAAACGAATAAACGGGCCACGGACCGTGCGCGATCTTTCCTTCATCTTCCTTGTCTTATCACCAACCCCTTACTTACACACACTTACACTTACAATTACACTAACATACACTACACTATCACATATGTCTGGAGATCAGTCAGGAGCATACAGCTTGCCTCGGCTGGGGTGGTGCCCCGTTGGGGGGAGATATCTGGCTGGGGAAATACCAACTATTTGGCGTGTGGGTGGGCGCCGGATCTCGCCATCCAGCTGGGAAAATCTTCATCACCATACGCGATAAAACATACACGAAAATTTCAGGACCAATAACTGCAGCAGTTGAATAGCCCGGACACTAATCAATCAGAGTATGCACTAATTGAACATTCTCTGTGTGTAAACTTTCTAATGTTGCTAAACATTTACGAATAAAGACGCGTTAATTACAAGAAACAAAGAATAATTAACAACATTATTATTATTTTGGTGTGAATATTTTGTATTTTATTCAGACTTTTATCATTCAAAGGGTATTTTTTTCGGCATGTATTACGTTCAATAAGTGATATCAACAGCATCAGAGGCAGCAGTGAGATTAATAAACAACGTCACAGCTGTTAGCGGCCACTTTTCGAGGGTGAAAAGAATATACAAATTATTGGTCAATATAGAAATACATCAGCCGAAATCTCCTATGAGTTGTATTTTTCAACCCTATACGAACGGAACAGCCCTTAACGCAATTAAGGTTCATGCAGTCTCAAATAGCGAAAAGAATTTTGCTTATATTTAGGAACGGATAAATATCGCACTTTTTAATCATTCTTCTTACTGACCGTCCAGAAGAGCTGAATATAATAAAATGAAAATCAAAATTTAAAGTGCTCTTTTGTATATCACAGATTAAAAATACGCTCTGGTTTCGATGGGTTTTAAGGTCACAAAATACTTAGGTTCTGAGCCCCAGGTGTGGCAAACCCTAAGCTTCCAATTGTTCTCCCGACATGACGTGCCTGGTAGCGGAGGGGAAGGATGCGGAAGTGGCCTCTTTGTTACGGTATCGCTGCGGCCTCCACCTGCTGTTGCTTGGAACTTCTGGACAACTCGTAGATGGGATTTTTATTTCACTTATATATTGCGATTTTCCTCTGTATCCCTTCTTATTTTATTAAATTTAACTTATTGTACTCATTTCTGTTTATAAACTTAGGCGCCATTAAATACACAGTTATCAATATCTTATCTTAGCTCAATGTACAATAAAAGTCTACCTTAAGGCTGTTCCGTTTGTGTAGGGTAGAAAAATACCACTCGTAGAACATTTCGGCTGATGTAT